GGAAAGGAGCTTGTAGCCCCTCATTTGAAAATCTGGACAACCAAGGTCCCAAGACATGACTTATGCTAGATTAAAGAGCATTCAGGTTTAGGACTTTGGTCTCCTGATTGTTATTCCAGTTCTCCTCACTACATTCTTTCCCATGTGTAAAATGGGCATGGGGATGATGCTTACTGCCTGGAGCACTCCTTTGAATGGTTTGGATTTTAGGTCAAGCATCACTTTTTTTTTAAAAATCAGAGTATAATTTCTTTACAACTGTGCTTTACTTTCTGCTGTACAATGAAGTGAATTAGCTATATGTATCCATGTATTCCCTTCCTTTAAAACCTCCCTCCCATCCACCCCCTGCCCCACCCATCTAGGTCATCACAGAGTACTGAACTGAGCTTCCTGTGCCAAACAAAAGCGTCCCACTCGCTATCTGGTTTACACGTGTAGTATGTCAGGGTTCGTCGCTCAGTCACGTCCAAGTCGTTGCAGCCCCATGCACTTCAGCCCGCCAGGCTCCTCTGTCCATGAAATTCTCCAGGCAAGAATACTGGAGTGGGTAGCCATTGCCTTCTTCAGGGGATCTTTCTGACCCCGGGACTGAACCCAGGTCTCCCACTTCGTAGGCAGATTCTTTACTGCCTAAGCCACCAGGGAAGCCTGTATGTACATCAGTCCTCATCTCCCAGTTTGTCCCACCCTCCACTTCCCGTCTATGTTCCTGTGTCTCTTCTCTACATCTGTGTCTCTATTCCTGATCTGCAAATAGGTTCATTTGTACTATTTTTCTAGATTCCACATTTATGCATTAATATTCGATACTTGTTTTTCTTAGGGGAGCCGTCTGTCTCCAGTTTCTCCCCAGAGCTGTACTTCCTTTTATTTCTGTACTGATTTCACTAAACAGCCCACTATCTAAGGTAAAAGTTTGGAGACTGTGTTGGTGTTCCCTTCACACTTATTCTCACATTCAGAATTGATAGAACTTGGTGATTATAGCCAACCTTATTAGTGTCTCACCTGTATACGTTTAGCATTCACTTTTTCTTTTCATGCTCACCCAACGCTGCCTTTTTGGAAGCACCAGGGATGTTTTGCCTGAGAGATTTCTCTGTTAGTGCTCAAACAGCCCACTTACAGGGCAGGCCAGATGTGCCATGTAGTTAAAAATCCCTGGGAGCAGTCCCCAACCAAAGCCTGATGGAAGTTGATGGATATATTTTGGGTAGAACAACTCTGAAGCGTGCTCTCTGCTGCTCTCCAGAGGTCTCCATGTGTCTGAGACCCAAGTGCCCACATGTGTAATCTACTCGTTGTTGTTGTTCAGTCACTCAATTGTGTCGTACTCTTTGCCACTCCATGGACTGCAGCATGCCAAGCTTCCCTGTCCTTCCCTATCTCCTGGAGTTTGCTCAAATTCATGTCCACTGAGTGGGTGATACCATCCAACAGTCTCATTAATGTAACTGAAATCACTCCCATCTCTTTTCCATCCCCTACTGATGTTTTCTTGGATAATCTCTCCAACAAACTTGCTGTACTCAAATGCTTATCTCCAGGTCTGCTTCTAGTGGTAGTCAACTACAACAGTGACTAATTAGATATTGGGATAAAAGGAAAAGTTGAGAATGGCTATAATATTTTCCATTATGGATGATTGGAGGTATCATGACTCATAAGTATAAGGAAGCTAATATGTATTTAATATTTTAGATACTAGATAATTGAAACTGTAGTGCTGGCAGAATTTCCTACTTGGACATGTTCAGTAGAGAGTTGAAAATATGGAATTGGAGACCAGGAGAGATGTAGACAGGAGCTAAAGATCTAGGAGTTATCAGTGTACGTTGTTGTTTAGTTGCCAAGTTGGGTCCTTCAGTGTATGTAGGTGGGTGCTAAATGCATGAACATGGTTAAGATGGCCAAAATGCTCATGTACACAGGAAAGAACAGGGAAAATGGACAATGAATGCGAAGTGGTAGTCTCTAAAAACAAATGCTAAATATCATTCGTATCTTCTCTCCCAAAACAGCTTAGCTAGGCAAGGAGTAATTTATTTTTCTTTTTCTGGCTGTGTCACAGGCATATGGGATCTTAGTTCCCGGCCCAAGGATTAAATCCTGACCCTTGGAAGTTAGAGTGTGGAGTCTTAACCACTGGACTGCCAGGGAATTCTCAGTAATTTTGAAGTAGTATTTAAATCCACAGTGCCTGGGTAGTAAACTCAAGAAATGTAGAATTAAGTTTTATCCATGCTAAATAGTTATTACAAAGCAAAGATCAGACTTTGTACTTCTGTGCTCAGTTTTTGTGTTTTTGGCCCCACAGCTCTGGCATGTGGTAGTCTAGTTCCCCATCAGGGGTCAGACCTACATCCCTGGCATCGGAAGGCGGATTCTTAACCACTAGACTGTGGGGGAGGGGCTCCCTGATGGCTCAGAGGGTAAAGAAACTGCTTGCAACTCGGGAGACCCGGGTTCATTCATTGGGTTGGGAAGATCCCCTGGAGAAGGGCATGGTAACCCACTCTAGTGTTCTTGCCTGGAGAACCCCCATGGACAGAGGAGCCTGGCGGGCTACAGTCCACGGGGTTGCAAAGAGTCGGACACGAGTGAGCGACTAAGCACAGCACACAGACTGTGGGGGAGGTCTCTGCGCTCAATTCTGAAGACATTGTTTTTCAGTATCTCTTATCAGTTCAGTTCAGTTCAGTCGCTCAGTCATGTCTGACTCTTTGCGACCCCATGAATCGCAGAACGCCAGGCCTCCCTGTCCATCACCAACTCCCAGAGCTTACTCAAACTCATGTTCATCAAGTCGGTGATGCCATCCAGCCATCTCATCCTCTGTCGTCCCCTTCTCCTCCTGCCCCCAATCCCTCCCAGCATCAGGTCTTTTCCAATGAGTCAACTCTTCGCATGAGGTGGCCAAAGTACTGGAGTTTCAGCTTCAGCATCAGTCCTTCCAATGAACACTCAGGACTGATCTCCTTCAGGATGGACTGGTTGGATCTCCTTGCAGTCCAAGGGACTCTCAAGAGTCTTCTCCAACACCACAGTTCAAAAGCATCAATTCTTCGGCACTCAGTTTTCTTCACAGTCCAACTCATACATCCATACATGATCACTGGAAAAACCATAGCTTTGACTAGATGAACCTTTGTTGGCAAACTAATGTCTCTGCTTTTTAATATGCTATCTGGGTTGGTCATAACTTTCCTTCCAAGGAGTAAGTGTCTTTTAATTTTATGGCTGCCGTCACCATCTGCAGTGATTTTGGAGCCCCCCAAAATAAAGTCAGCCACTGTTTCCACTGTTTCCCCATCTATTTGCCATGAAGTGATGGGACCAGATGCCATGGTCTTAGTTTTCTGAATGTTGAGCTTTAAGCCAACTTTTTCACTCTCCTCTTTCACTTTCATCAAGAGGCTTTTTAGTTCCTCTTCACTTTCTGCCATAAGGGTGGTGTTATCTGCATATCTGAGGTTATTGATATTTCTCCCGGCAATCCTAATTCCAGCTTGTGCTTCTTCTAGCCCAGTGTTTCTCATGATGTACTCTGCATATAAGTTAAATAAGCAGGGTGACAATATACAGCCTTGACGGACTCCTTTTCCTATTTGGAACCAGCCTGTTGTTCCATGTCCAGTTCTAACTGTTGCTTCCTGACCTGCATATTGGTTTCTCAAGAGACAGGTCAGGTGGTCTGGTATTCCCATCTCCTTCAGAATTTTCCATGGTTTATTGTGATCCACACAGTCAAAGGCTTTGGCATAGTCAATAAAGCAGAAATAGATGTTTTTCTGGAATTCTTTTGCTTTTTCCATGAGCCAGCGGATGTTAGCAATTTGATCTCTGGTTCCTCTGCCTTTTCTAAAACCAGCTTGAACATCTGGACGTTCACGCTTCACGTATTGTTGAAGCCTGGCTTGGAGAATTTTGAGCATTACTTTACTAGTGTGTGAGATGAGTGCAATTATATGGTAGTTTGAGCATTCTTTGGGATTACTTTTCTTTGGGATTGCAATGAAAACTGACCTTTTCCAGTCCTGTGGCCACTGCTGAGTTTTCTAGATTTGCTGGCACATTGAGTGCAACACTTTCACAGCATCATCTTTCAGGATTTGAACTAGCTCAACTGGAATTCCATCACCTCCACTAGCTTTGTTCATAGTGATGCTTTCTAAGGCCCACTTGACTTCACATTCCAGGATGTCTGGCTCTAGGTGAGTGATCACACCATCATGATTATCTGGGTCGTGATAATCTTTTTTGTACAGATAAAAACCTATAATTTCACCCACCATCCCACACATTCTAATTTACTCTAACATGGAGATGTGTTAACTAGCTGAAGAGACAGAAGATAATGTGTTTCTACATATTGCCAGTTAGCTTAGTTACTTAGAGCATGATGCTGGTGATACCAAAGTCTGTGACCCCATCACTAATATGTTTTTTGATCTGAGGGAGAGATTATAAAGCAGTAAATGAGCCTAAAGGATTTAACCTCAGGGCTCCAGTTATCTGTCGTTGGTAAGACTTTGGAGGTGGTGTTTGACCTTTAGGATCTCATCCAAGAAGTGTAAATACTTGGAATCCTTCATATAGTTTAAGGATAAAGTGAGATAATGCCCAGAAAGTGCTGAGATTCCGCAGCCTAGCACAGTCAGGAACTGATGAAGCTATACTTTCTGTAGCGTGCTTTAAGGAAACAACAGTTTTGTTTATTTGTTCTGCCTTTCAAGTACTAGATCAGATCGCAAATTCCGCACACTTCCATACGCGTAAAAGGTCCCTCATTCCCCGGTGCCACAAAGTACTACGCTCTTTACGACAGTGTACGACGCCGGGCCTGACAGGCGCACACCACGCGGGCCAATCGTGCGGCGTCCGACCGATGACGTAGGCCGCGCTCGTGCATGCGCAGGGCGGGAAGACCTTGGGGAGGCGGCGGAGACGCTTAGCGGAGGTGAAATCCTTGGCAGAAAGGAAAGTGTAGCGGCAAGATGCAGAGTTGGAGTCGTGTGTACTGTTCCTTGGTCAAGGTGAGGGCCTACTGGGTGGGGTCGTGCTGAATCAGGCCCAGAGAGGCCCACTGACGGCCTAAGTGTGGGTGTGGGAGAGACCGGCGGCCAGGCCGGGACCACCTGCGACTCCACTCCTGAACCCGCTCAGCAGGGGCGGCGGCTTGGAGGCAGAAGCTTGGGCCGTGGAGAGGCTCCGCCAGTTGTGTGACGCCCAGCAGTCACACACAGTCCCCTCCCAAGCCTGGGCCTGGAGCCAGGGCGTCCCGTGTAGGCCCTTCCTCCTTGACGGAGAAAGTAGGAGTCACCCTTGCCCGTTATGGTTGACTTTTTCCTAGTTCTAATTTCGGCCCCAGTGGCCTTTTGCAGTAGACAGGTAATCTTGGGCCACCGCTTGAAGGACTCAGACTGAGCACTAACTCTTGGCCCCAGGAATTCCTCAAAGGTCCCTTAAATGTTTGCAGCTTTAAGCGAGCGTGCATTGACTTCCCTGTTAGAGCTTGTATTTTTAATTGTAGCAGGATATCAAGATAGCCTTCCTTTTTCATCAATGTACCGAATACAGCCAAATTGTGTATATTTGGGTTTGTGACTGAATACAGTATTGACGGAGACCTTAAAAATAATACAAAAGTTAGACTCCTTTGTTTCAAGATGAGTAGCCTATGTTTTGCGAAGTTAATGTAGCAAGCTTGAAGTCGTACGTTTAGTGAGAGAGCTGGGACTAAAACTCAGCCCTAATCTCTCCTCTGCTGTTCTTTGGTTCGCTGTCCTGATCTCAGGTGCAAGCCTTGCCTTGAAGTAGACAACGTTCCTAGATCAATGTGTAGGATTTTTCACTGCCTACTTTGATAGGACCTGTTTGCAATTTTTCCTTTGTGCCTCACTGTTCTTAGGAAAATAGTAGCCATCCGTGTTTAGAGATTGTTGTGGAGATTATGATGCAGTTTGTAACACTAGTAGCTCTTCTATCTGAGTACATTACTTGGTGCACTTTCCTAAGATATCTTGTCTAATTTTCTGTTCCTTTTGTATGGTTCAGGTACATCTTCATAGATTGTACATGGTAGTTTTGATTTTAGGAAACAATAATTACATGTAAAAGGATTGTCATAATGTAGATTATTCAAGTACTTAAGCTGGAACTTTAGTTAATGACATTAAAATGATCTCTGGCGCCAAAAGTTAGCCATGCTTTCTGAAAATTTAATAAAATGTAAGCATCATTTAATAACATGTTTTAGTTAGGTAAAAAAATGAAATGGTATGTTGAACATTTATAATAAAAAGTGTGGCAAGCTGATTGTTTTTACAAAAGAGCAGAAATTGTTGTGTAACCTCCCTGTGACAGAGGAAGATACATTAGCAATCATTGCTCGATACATTTGCCTGGTCATTAATTTCATGGATTTTTAGTACTATGTTTTGAATTCATATTTTACATAATAGAATCATTTTCTTTTTCAGAAAGGCCATTTCAATCGAATATCTCATGGTCTGCAAGGAGTTTCTGTAGTGCCTCTAAGAACTTATGCAGATCAACCAAGTAAGTACTTAGTAAAACAGGTTTTGCTCGTATTTCCTGTATATTTAAATGTAAAAGCTTAAATGTAAAAGCAAGTGAATGTTAAGGGTAACTAATACTAAAGTAATTAGCCATAGAATTCATTTGTTCAAATGTTTGTTCACTTAAATGTTCTGTTGAACACCTAGTGTGTTCCAGATGGTGAAGAAGAAAAAGCCTTGCTCTTACAGAACTTGTCGTCTGATGGTAAAATACAAACAGTATACAAGAAACAGGGAAATAATTTGGGAAGTGATTGAAAATGAAATCTGGTAACTGGGGGTAAGGAGACTGTTTCAGGTAGTGTATCAGGCCTTTTCTGTGCAAGGGCCTGAGTAAAGTGAGGGTGTGAGAAGGTTATTTCAGGCAGAGGGAACCAGCAATGAGAAGGGTCTGAGGTAAGAATTCAGTTGTGCGGTTTAAGGGATTGCAAGGAGGTTAGTGTGGCTAGAGTAGAGACCCGTAGAGTGTCAAATCAGAGAGGGTAGGCAGAGATCAGATCATGGAGGGTTTCTAGTATCTTCAGTGTAAGCTGAACTGTTTCTTGGTATTTTCTGTAGCTTTGGAAAAGACCTAAATTGGGAAATAAAACACAATTTTTTTTACTTTTTTGTATTTAAGTTTATTCAATAAACCTGTATATTATAATTAAAAATATGTTAAAAATTTAGTCAGGAATCAAGTTTTTTAGCTTGTATTTAGATTACTGGGAAATTAAAAATTAGACCCAAACTAAGGGGTGTTGGTTAGGTCCTCATTTGGTTCAAGATTTGAAAATAGAAATGTATTTTATAGACATTTCTATTTGAAAATCAAAATATATTATATACTTAATTCTGAACATGAATGAGTGAACTAAGCAGTGTGGCCAAAAAGCACAAATGGATCAGGAGAATCGATACAATACTTTTTATCATGTGTTGGTCTAGCTATATTTTTTTCATGTATGAGTAACCCAAATTATTACCAAGGATAATCAGTACTTTATTCATTAGGGGTGAGTCTTAGATTTTGTGGATAACTGGGTTGGATAACCTATTAGTTGTCCTCCAACATAGCTTCTGTGATTCTGTTGAGGCCAGCAAAAGTCTTTTAAAGGATACTCTACTCCCGTCCCCTAAGGGGTGTGTGTTTTGTGGGGAAGGGGATGATAAGAAATTAAAACTGTTGTCTTTGTAGATCAGAATGTAGCTATTATATAGCAAATACTATATACATTTGGGTACTGTGCTAAGCTATTTGCATATGTTATTTGTTCTATAGTACAGCCTTGTGAGGTAGATATTTTTTTGTGTGCTCCTTATTTTGCAGATGAGAAAACTGAAGGTGAAGCAGATTAAATTACTCACCTAAGGTTAGATAGCTAGTAATTATGCAGCTTGATTATTGCTCTTGGAGGTAGTTGAAATTAAGGAATGGAGTAATATTAAATAATAGACCACTGGAAGGAGAAACAAAAAGCCTAATTTTGTCTCTGCCACATGGCTGCTAGATGACCTTGGGCAAATTTAATTGACCTGTCTGAAACTAGTGTTTTTTACCTAAATTTTTTTATAATACACACACATATATATATGCCATCCTTTTCTTTCTCCTACAAAGTTCTTAGAAAAACATATGTCAAAGTGTGTTAAAACTACTAAGTTTTAGAGTCACTGAGATTGTAGGGACAGTGGATGTGGGAGAAGGGAGACTGTCTCTTAACTCTTAATGGTTATTGTTGCTTTATTTGATGTTGTATTGAGAAGACTGGGAATAATTGGAACTTATTTTTACATTTGTTTCATAATTATTATACTCCTAAGACTACTGATCAAAGAATTTTCAGCTTCTTATCTTTATATGATAAATGTCCAGAATAGTTCAGAACGTATTTGCCAAGTGTTATAGGGAAGCAGAATTTTCCCCTTGTTATTTTAGAAGTTAAGTACCTGAAAAGGATATAATTGGTTTTAAATTTATTGAAAGAGCTAAGGTATTATACGAAATTATCTTATTTAATCCAAACATCAGTTATTTACGTCAGTGTTATTGTTCCTGTATGACAGAAAAATGAAGTCACTTAGTCACACAGCTAATAAATGATAAGAGCTGAGATTTGAAGCCAGGTATGACAGATTGCAAAGCTCAGGCTCTTTCCTTCATACAAGTATGTCACTAAATGTCTGTCCCTTATTATTCAATAAAACTATAGGATTTAGCAAAGTCATTGGGTACAGAACTCAGTTATATTTTGATATGCCATAATGAATAAATAGAAAGCAAAATTTAAAAATCTGTGTCATTTTCAGTATGTCAGAGAATGTTAGGTGCCTTGGAATGAATAGTACTATGTAGAAAATGCTGGTTACTTGCACTTTTTTGGAATATAAAATGTAAGATTTTTTTTTTAACTGTAGTGTTTTTGATCAGTAATAAGCAATTTATTGTTTTGTATCAATTTGCTTTGATTGTAGTCGATGCCGATGTGACAGTAATTGGCTCTGGTCCTGGAGGGTATGTTGCTGCTATTAAAGCTGCCCAGTTAGGCTTCAAGGTAAGGTTTAAGCTCAGATTAGGCATTAATTTTCTTTTCATTTGGTAAGGGTTGAACACATTCATAAAGTACTTTGCAGGTAATTAATAAAGATAAAAATTTCCTAATTCTATAAATTATATTTAGGTCTGAGACTAATGAAGAGAGAGGATTTATTTGGTTATAGTATTTTCGTGAAATGGAAAGTGAAGTCACTATCCCCTCCCCACCACACGCCAACCCCCACCCCATACTTTTCGTTTTGTTTTGGCTTCTAGTCACACTTTGGGAATCCCAAGTGGTGCTAGTGGTAAAGAACCTGTGTGCCAGTGCAGGAGACTTAAGAGATACAGGTTCGATCCCTGGGTTGGGAGGATCCCCTGGAGGAGGGCATGGCAACAGCTCCAGTATTCTTGCCTGGAGAATCCCATGGACAGAAGACCCCGACAGGCTACAGTCTGTAGGGTCCCACAGAGTTGGATATTACCAAAGCGACTTAGCATGCACACGCATACACTTTGGAAGAGTTATAGAGCTAAATAAAAACATGATTTGGTTTTTAAACAAATACCTTTCAGAATGATTCACTTTTGGGTTAGTATTATGCAGATAATAGATTTTAAAAGAATATATATTTCATTCTCACAAACACTTTCAGTAGCATGTTTTGTAGAAGAATTAAGACATACATTTGGAATTTTAGTGAACTGAAGCATTGCAGGTTATGTGCAATGAATTATGTTTTCTTTGCTTATAGACAGTCTGTGTTGAGAAAAATGAAACACTCGGTGGAACATGCTTGAATGTTGGTTGTATCCCTTCTAAGGTGAGCATATGTTTTGTACAGTGCATAAATTTTTTTCATTAGCCACCAACTGGAAGGATATATTGAGATTAGAATGTTAAACTAATACAGTTATTAAAAAATAACCCAGAGATGATAAAAACACATATTTTCCTTTGTCAAAATTTAGGTTACTGTCGTCAGTCTGCCATACATTCCTGAAATAACTTCCTTGTCTCGGAATGCCTGGTCTTTGAGCTAGGATCTGATTCCATTTTTTTGGCTTTCCTCTACAGCGAAACAATTAATAGGCAGTAAATTCTTCTTTTAAGCCCTTTATGTATGAAAAATGACTGCCTTTTAAACCTGCCATTCTGAAGTTGTATACTTAATTCTTTGCTTTTAAAGAAAGTAATTTTTTCATTCTTGTTTGTTGAACGTTTAAGTTGTTACTGTTTTTCTTACATTAAATATGTAAGAACAGAAACTGAATTGGTGTAGTCCTATATGCTATTTCATATAGAGAATGTCATTTTGTAAGTGGTTTTTGCATGTATATAGTTTGTGAAATTTGATAATTTAGTCTTTTTATTTCCTTTAGGCTTTATTGAATAACTCTCACTTTTACCATTTGGCCCATGGAAAAGATTTTGCATCTAGGGGAATTGAAAGTATGTATACCTTTCATATTTAGCAATATCAACACTTGGCTTTTCTGACTAAGGACTTGTGTCTAATGACAGTGTAATATATGGTTAGTGAGGGAAGAGTAAGACCTTAACAATGTGAGATTTATTTAAGAAAAGGCTTAAATCCATATTTCTACTGTGACATCTTCTGTTACTTTGCTAATGTGTGTGTGTGTGTGTGTGAGACGTGTGTGTGTATGAAGACTCAGTTTTTGTTTCCTTAAAACTTAGAGATCACTAAGAGATCACTAGGAGGGTGCTGGATTCTTTAGTGCAGTGGGCAAATAGTGGTGAAGGAAGGAAGGTCTACTTAAGTTGCTGGTAGTGAAAAGAGATGCAAGGAGAAGGGGAAGGATGTGGCATAGTGGAAATGGACATTTCATAATGTTTTAATTTGGTATGTCCTATCTCCTGTCATTCTTTTTGGACTGTTTTCATTTTGTCCTTTTTCTCCAATTATTGTCGTTTACAGATACACCCAGGAGAATAGTCCTAGGAAAGGTCAAAACACACCTTGTGCTGGGGAGACTAATTTGATTTTTATTTCTTTGTAGTAGGAGGTTTCTGAAAGCTTGGGCTGTAGTGTACGCAGACAGGTATAGGAGTGATGTATATACATTAAAGCAAATATTTTAAACTAGATGAAAAGTAGAATCAAAGTTTACTTTCCTTACCTACTAAGGAAAGAAGAGACTGGGTTAATCAGAGATGTGCATTACAGGCAAAGCTTCATGTTCTAGCACTGACCTTAAGTAGATCACATCTCTTAGGGCCTTTGTTTCCTTATCTCTAATATATGTATTGCTTGCCTGAGCTGATTTCTGACATACTCTTCTTGCTCCTGAAGTTCTTTTGGAATTTGAGTTTATTTTCTTATTTTGTTGCTTCAGAGTTTTCTTGCATGATTAAATGAGTAAAATCTAGTTGATTAAACTTTTATATTAAACTATATTTGAAGTTTTCAAATGTGATTTTTTTTACTAGCTTTTGCTTCATGAAATTTAGCATTTTCTTCGGTTTACAATTTCCAGTGATGTTTTATGTTGTCATTTTTACTTAAATCTCTTCCAGACTTATAATTGTCATAAGGTGTTTAAAGAATATATTGTCATAGTGGGGTGTAATGGTTTATTTTGGACGTAATTTTTCCTGAAGGTGGACTTTTTATATTGCATGATGTGTTCTGTTATTGTCATAGGATGTTGTTGGCCTTTTGTCAGCTATGATTATTGTATCAGTTATTAGATTAAAACATTTTAATACAGCCTTTTTATACAGTTTTGTGTGCATTAGGCTGAAATTTTTCAGACCTTGATTAGTGAAAAATATCATGTTGCTTTAGAATTTAGCTATGGACTAAAGATTTATTTAACAAATTACAGTGTCTGAAGTTCGTTTGAATTTAGAGAAGATGATGGAGCAGAAGAGTAATGCAGTAAAAGCTTTAACGGGTGGAATTGCCCACTTATTCAAACAGAATAAGGTTAGTACGTTTTATGTTCAGATTTTTGCATTATTTTATATACATGATAAATATTGCTTTATGCTGACAGTGATGCTGTTAGAAATTGGCTGCTGGAGGATATTTAATTTAAAACAGTATGTTAGCCTAAAATAGATTTACCCAATGGATGTAACAAAATTTTTGCTGCTCCATATGTAGCATTATCAGGTAAGGAGATGTTTTGTATTGGATAAATTATTTAATAGTTTTTTCTTACAAGTCATATTTGTTTACCCAAAAAATTATTTTTAAACTTTGTGAATTTTTAAACATTATTTTATAAAGGTTGTTCATGTAAATGGATATGGAAAGATAACTGGGAAAAATCAGGTCACCGCCACGAAAGCCGATGGCAGCACTCAAGTTATCGATACAAAGAACATTCTTATAGCCACAGGTTCAGAAGTCACTCCTTTTCCTGGAATTACGGTATTTACATGTTTTACAACTGCACAACCTTTCTGCTTAAATATATTTTATGTTCTTTATGAACTTCGAATGAGAGATACCTGACTGAAGTACAGTATGTCAGTCATTCAGCTTTGGGAATTTGCCTGTCTTTATTCTGCAGTGATCTTGACCAGAAATGGAACACTTTATATTATGATATATTTGAATTCAATATGAGGTTAACGTTGATCATTCTATTTTGAGATGCTACATGATAAACTTTTAAGTGGGCCATTTTTAATGGGTTTTGATAAAATTAAGTCTATGGGTAAAAGTCATAAATAGCTCAAAGCAAATAAATGACTTAGTATTTTTAGTGATTATACTGAGTAAGATCACAGTTTATAAATCAGTAGGTTTTTTCAAGTAATTTTGATTGTCTCTTTTTTTAAATTACAGATTGACGAAGATACAGTAGTGTCATCTACAGGTGCTTTGTCTTTAAAAAAAGTTCCAGAAAAATTGGTTGTCATTGGTGCAGGAGTAATAGGTGTAGAATTGGTGAGTGATGTTTTTTCTGTCCCTTATTACTTCCGTGGAGTTGGAAAGGACTTAGTGTTCCTCTGATTATTTGTGTAACATCACAGGCAGATTAGTTGAGTTTTGTTTAAATATTATCTAGTAGTAAAAAAAAAAAAATTATCTAGTAATAGTTTTCAAGATAATCTGTTTAAGTAACCATTACTCATTACAACATTCTGTTTTGTTTTGAAATCTGCTTCCCTGTGTCTTCGAGCTTTCCTATTCCCTAGAATTGGACTGATTTTTAAAGATCTACCAGCCCTTCAGATACTTAAATCTAGCAGCCCTTCAGCATTCTGAGTGAATTGCATTTCAGATAAAGACATGACTGACATGATGTGGTTTTTCCTTGCATCTCCATCCTCATTTTGATCCCTCTAACTTAAGTCTTAGAAATGGCAAATTACTTGATGTTCTCTGAATACTGTGCTGTCTCACACCTTTTGCCTACTATCTTCTTCTCCCTTCTTGTCCATCTGGCAACTTTCATGTTTGTCCAGTGACCTCTTCCCTCTGTTTTAGGCGTCGTTTCCCAGGGCCGTTTTACCTCTTCTTCTAAAATCACAAATCCAGACATCTTATTCTCTGACCATAAACTCTTTTCCTCTTACTCAGAGAGCCTGTCTAGCTGAAGAATAGCTGAGTTTATCATGTTTTCTAGTCCCTAGGTTCCTGGTTTTTGCTCTGTGCCCTTAGCCCATCTTGACCGCTTTCCCAAGCAGCTTAGATCCCACACTGCGTCACTAACGACTTCCTTACAAGTGTTCTTGAGTCCCTGGCCTTGCCGTTCTGTCATATCTGCTTCTCTGAGGACACCTGTGTGCATTCACACATGCTCAGGTGCCTCTGTACTCAAAGACACAGATGCGGTACACAAACATAGGCCTTTTCTTGATCCTCTGTCCTCCTTAAGTTCCTGATTGCCCTCTCACCTCTCCACAACCAGATTTCTTGGAAGAGATGCCCACTCTGTTTCATCAGCTCTGACTTCGCTCTTCATCCATGGCTTCTTGTGTCATCAACTTGCTCTTGACAGAGCATGTGCGGATTTATTGCTCAATCCAGTGGACTATTCTTCACTGGTTTTTTGGTAGCAAGCAGCATTGTTGATTTTCTTGCCTTTGAAGCTTTTCCCTTACCCTCTCTGATCAAACAGCCCTCTGGATTTTCCATCTACCCTTTGTGCTGACTTTTCTTTCTTCCCATTCTCAGCCTTCTCTTTACTTGTTACTGTTACCCTAGATTCTGTCTCAAGGTTCTCTCCCAGATTCTTTTTGTCTTTTCAGAGAATATTCTGTTCATTCTTAACCTCAGTTACCTGAAGACTCATAAATCGTGCAGTTAATCCTTCCTCCTTGCCTCTGAGCTTTTGTATGCTAATGCTTACAGTATCTTTATCTGCAGGTCTCACAGGCACCCAGTGCATGTGTAACTTAACCTGTCTTTCCCTCCTTCACTTACCAAAATACAAAACAAAACCTGTTTATTTTCTAACATTTCCCACCTCAGTGAGTGGTACTGCCATCGATCTAGAGGCCTAAACAAGACGTTCGGGAACTGTAAGTGACCTCTCCCATTTCTGTGTGCCCCATATTGAGTCAGTCCGTGGGTTCTAATGTCATACTACCAGTTAGGTAACTCATGAATATATCCTCTGTTAGGATAAGTACAAACTCTTAAGTATTGTTTGGTGCTGGCTCATCTCCAGCCTCATTTCTAAGCCCTCTCCCTCTCAAACTATGTTCAGGATATATTGAAATAGCAGTTCTTGAATAAACTGCATTTTGTATTTGATCTGTAGTCAGGCCTTCCTCCTGTTTGGAACATTTCGTCCCTCTATGAGTTTCTGTACCTTCTGAGCCCTTCCTTGCCTACCGTGGATGTCCTTAGGTACTCTTGCCAAGTGTTCCATTGCACCCTGTCCTTGTTCTAGCATTTATCTTACCTTCTTGATACTACTTGTTCAGTCTCTCTCCCATTAAATCATAAGCTCCATGAGGCTAGAGATGCCGGCTGTTTCATTTACTGTGTGTCTTTAGCATCTAGCATACTGGTTGATATATAATAAGTACTCATATATTAGCTATTATTATTATTGCTTAATAAACTTTTGTTGGTATAATAAATAACTTTCAAATGTCAGCTTAGAAGTTACCTTTTTAGTGGAGACGTCTGTTTTAAGAAAACTCCGGTCCTTCCTTCTTTGAGTCTAGTATAATGTGTCTACATGTTTTCATCGTCTACTGATAATAGTATATATTGCCTTTATTTGTTTATGTCTTTCTTTTTAATATGATCATAAGCTCCTGAAAGGCAGAGACTGAGTTTTAGTCATATTTAAATCTCCATTGCTTTTCTTAATGACTCTTACTTAGGTTTTTTACGTAACAGATCCATTAACTTCATCATCATCCTTTTGAACCAGTCCAGTCTGTCATTTTTAAATAATGTTCCAAACTAAGCAAAATAGTCTGGGTTTTGGAGAGAATGTCTTTTAGTCTTCTGATATTCATAATATACTTCTTTGTGTAACCCTTTAAGATCAGTTTTTTGTTATTCATTTGTTTTTAGCACATATTGAGCTTGTGGTCAGATGGAAACCTCACATCTTTTGCTTTAGCAATTCTGGATTTTTTTAAGACCTAAATAAAGGACTTTGAACGTTATCCTTGCTTTTAATTTAATATTGTTCACTTGCACCCAGTATTTCCAGCCTAGTTCTTTGTCTTGATTCTGTCATTTTTACACTTAACTGCTGTTTCTTGCTTTGTCTTGTTCATAAGTTGGGGAAGTATGTTAACTAAGGCGTGTGGCCCATCATCTGATCTTATCTGAAATTGGTTAATCAAGCATTCTCTAGTGTTAATCAGGTTGTCAATGCAAAGTATTAAAAACCATCTGATACTGCAGTCTTTTTTTTAGTTTTAAAATTTAATTTAAAATTTATTTTTATTTTTGGCCACACCACACAGCATGTGGATCTTAAGATACCTGATCAGGGATCAGACTTACGCCCCCTTCCATGGAAGAGCAAGAATCTTGGACAACTGCCAGGGAGGTCCCTGATACTGCAGTCTTCCACCAGTTATGAACATAACTGTTTACCTTTCTGATACCAAAATATGCTGCGTTAACCAGTCCAGAAGGACTTCCAGAAGTAAAATTTGGGGAGCTTACATGGCCTGCTTGAAACAGCCATGGCGGTCTCTAATGGTTGTCAGACTGGCTGTTTGAAAATCTCTACTTCCCAGTATTCAACAGGGTTGACCTCTGTTCCACATTCCAGAATCAGTTTTTATTTATTTTTGTTTACAAAATTTTTTATGTTAACAGTGTTGTGTTATTTTCAGGTGTGCAGCAAAGTGATTCAGTTATCGCCTATACATGTATCTTTTCTTTTTCAAGTTCTTTTCCCATTTAGGTTGTTATATAATATTGAGCAGAGTTCCCTGTGCTATATATATATAGACCATCCTTGTTGGCTATCTATTTTGTTTTGTTTGAAAACATTTTTTTAATTAATTTATTTTCATTGGAGGATAATCACTTTACAATATTGTGATGGTTTTTGCCATACATCAACATGAATTGGCCACAGGTGTGTATCTGTGCTGGCCCAGCACCCCGGCTGCCCCGTCCCACCCCGCCCAGCCCGGCTGGGTTGTCCCAGAGCACTGGCTTTCGGTGCCCTGCTTCATGCATCGAACTTGCACTGGTCTTCTATTTCACGTATGGTAATGTACATATTTCACTGCTCTTCTCTCAAATTATCCCACCCTCACCTGCCTCTTAAACCTGTATGCAGGTCAGGAAGCAACAGTTAGAACTGGACATGGAACAACCGATTGGTTCCCAATAGGAAAAGGAGTATGTCAAGGCTGTATATTGTCACCCTGCTTATTTAACTTATATGCAGAGTACATGCTGGGCTGGATGAAAAACAAGTTGGAATCAAAGTTGCCGGGAGAAATATCAATAACCTCAGATACGCAGATGACACCACCCTTAACAGCAGAAAGTGAAGAGGAACTAAAGAGCCTCTTGAAAGTGAAAGAGGGGAGTGAAAAGTTGGCTTAAAGCTCAGCATTCAGAAAACTAAGATCATGGCATCCGGTCCCATCACTTCAGGGCAGCTGGAAACTCTGGAAACTGATAGGTTTTATTTGGGGGGGCTCCAAATCACTGCAGATGTTGACTGCAACCATGAAATGAAAAGACGTTTGCTCCTTGGAAGGAAAGTTGTGACCAATCTGGACAGTATATTAAAAAGCAGAGACATTACTTTGCCAACAAAGATCCATCTAGTCAAGGCTATGGTTTTTCCAGTAGTCATGTATGGATGTGAGAGTTGGACTACAAAGAAAGCTGAGCGCCAAAGAATTGATGCTTTTGAACTGTGGTGTTGGAGAAGACTCTTGAGAGTCCCTTGGACTGCAAGGAGATCCAACCAGTCCATCCTGAAGGAGATCAGTCCTGGGTGTTCATTGGAGGGACTGATGTTGAAGCTGAAACTCCAATACTTGGCCACCTGATGTGAAGAGCTGACTCATTGGAAAAGACCCTGATGCTGGGAGGGATTGGGGGCAGGAGGAGAAGGGGACGACAGAGGATGAGATGGTTGGATGGCATCACCGACTCAATGGACGTGAGTTTGGGTGGACTCCGGGAGTTGGTGATGGACAGGGAGGCCTGGTGTACTGCAGTTCATGGGGTCGCAAAGAGTCGGACACGACTGAGCGACTGAACTGACTGACACCTCTCACTGAGTTCAGAAAGTCTGTTCTTTATATCTGTGTCTCCTGTGCTGCCCCGCATGTAGGATCATTGATACTGTCTTTCTAAATTCCATATGTATGCATTCATACACACTACTTGTCTTTCTCTTTCTGACTGATTCACTGGCTATCCATTATAAATACAGCAGTGTGTGTATATCAGTCCCAAACTTCATAACTATCCCTCTTGCCCACCCTTCCACTCTGCTAACGTAATCAAACCCCACTGGCCTTCAAAGCCAGATTCTCTGGGAACTCCTCCCCATTCCCATCCCCCAGGCTGGAAAGGCCGACATGGGGCTCAGAACTTGCTCCTGTGGGATAAATTCCATGGTATAATTGTTCTCAGATTTGTGAGTTGCCCACCCAACTGGTTTGTGATTTGATTTTATCCCAGTTGTGCCTCTCCTACTGTTCCTTGTGGCTTCTTCTTTATCTTTGGATGTAGGGTGTCATTTTGGAAGGTTCCAGAGTTTGTTTTTTTTCTGTCAGTGGTTGTTCAGCAGTTAGATGTGTTTTTGTAAGGAGTGAACTCATATCCTACTCCACCATCTTGAGCTAATCTCCAGGAATGTTCTTTTTTAGAATATATTCTTTCCCACCTCTGACAGTGCTCTTAGGCTAATTAAGCTCCCAAAGTTCACAGACTGTTACCCAAACTGTTACCCAAACTCTGTGATCTAATTTATTCAATTTGGGAATTAATTCATCCAAAACAATTAGTTGTTCTTATTTTGGGCTTCACTTCTTTTTTAATGATATTTCTTCTCTTCAGGCCGCATTGAAAATTGTTCTCACTGATGGATAAAACAAACAAAAAGGAATCTTATAGCTTTACTTCCTTTTAATCAGCATAATAATAGCCCAAGGCAATGATTCTGTTTCCTCCATCTCTGCACTTTTGCATTAGATTTTTTGCAAGCTTCAAGTCGTTTAAACATCTTGACACAATGTTTTAGGTGTCTGTTACTATATTAAAATAATTCTTACATGGCATTTTAAAAATTTAGGTTTATGGAGAACTTATTGTATCGACATACATATCTCTCTACTTTCTCGTAAAGATTATTCATATGACTTATTTTTTACAGTTCATTTTCTTTCTTCCATTAGAGTTTACTATAGTGCTTTCGAATCAGACAGATTTAAAATTGAATTTCAGCTTTGTCTCTTAATGACTTTATGTCTTTGTTAAATTCATTACCCTCTCTGAACTAATTGATCCATTATAAAAATGAGGATAAGAATAATTGCCTTATAAGATTTTGTTGAGATTTAATATGGTTAATACATTTAAGGCACTGTAGTGCCTTGCATTTAATAAGCTCTAAATAAATGGTAGATATTACTGGAGTTTTCCTATCTAAGGATTTTGAAATCAGCTTTCCTAAAGAATAGGGCACTTGTCTTGCTATGCTTACTGTTCTCTCAAGATGCTGCTGCTTATCATTTCTACTCTTAACTGTTTCTTACTATTCTGATTTAGACTCAGAGGAGTGATTGATTTTTTTGTAGTGAGATATAACTTATATATCATGTAATTCACCCATTTAAAGTGTACAATTCGGTGATTTCTAGTGTACTTACAAAGTTATGCATCTGTCATCAGTATCTTAATTCCGGAACATTTTCATTACCCCAGAAAGAAGTGAAAGTTGCTCAGTCGTTTCCGACTTATCGTGATCCCATGGACTGTAGTCCGCCAGACTTCTCTGTCCATGGAATTCTCCAGGCAAGAATACTGGAGTGGGTTGCCATTTGCTTCTCCAGGGGATCTTCCTGACCCAGGGATTGAACCTGGGTCTCACGCACTGCAGACAGATTCTTTACATCTGAGCCACCAGTCATTGGAAAACACTAATCTGCTTCTTATGTCTATGGATTTGCCTATTCTGAACATATAAATGGAATTTGTGCAATATATGGCATTTTGTGTTTGGCTTATTTCAGTTAGCATAATGTTCTCATTTTCAGGTATACTTTATTTCACTTTATGGCCAAATAATTTTCCATCAATGTTTTCATTTTCATTTTCAGGTATACTTTATTTCACTTCATGGCCAAATAATTTTCCATTCAATATTTTCCCAGTCCTTGGGAAACACTAATCTGCTTCTTATGTCTATGGATTTGCCTATTCTGAACTTATAAATGGAATTTGTGCAATACATGGCATTTTGTGTCTGGCTTATTTCAGTTAGCATAATGTTCTCATTTTCAGGTATACTTTATTTCAGTTAATGGCCAAATAATTTTCCATTCAATGAATTTTTAAAATGTGCTGTATCCATTCTTTAGTTGATGAACATTTGGGTTGTTTCCACTTCAGGACTAACATGAATAATGCTGCTATGAACATTTTTGTACAAGTTTTTGTGTGCACATCTGTTTTCATGTCTCTTTTGAGTACATACCTAGGAGTAATTCTGTGTTTAACCTTTCAAGGAACTCTGTTCTCCAAAAGGGCTTCATCATTTTATAACTCCCTCCCCAAGCCCTGTAAGTTTCAGTTCCATTTGCTCACCAGTAGCTGGTATTGTTGGCTTTTTTGATTTGAGCCTTTCTAATGGGTGTGCAGTAGTATCTCATTGTGGTTTTAATTCGCATCTTCTAGTGTTGCAGTGTTGAGCATATTTTTATGTGCTTTTTGCCATCTCTGTGTCCTTGAAGTGCCTGTTTAAATGTTTTGTATGTTTTTTCTTGGCTCCATTTGTTTTGTTACTGAATTTTGAGAGTTCTTTATAGAATCTTTATCAAATAGTTTTTTTTGTAAACATTTCTTTATCAAATAGTTTTGCAATTTTTTTTTATCAAGTAGTTTTGCAAACATTTCTTCCTAGCCTGTGGTTTCTCTTTTTTGTGTTCATAATACTGTCTTGTGAAGAGAAGTTTTTAATTTTAATGAAGTCTAATTTACTTTTTTTCTTTTATGGATTGTACTTTGGTGTTATAGGTAAGAAATCTTTGCCTACCTACGTGTCACAATAATTCTCTCCTGTTTTCTTCTAAAAGTTTTACAGTCTTGGATTTTACATTTAGGTGCATAATTTCGAGTTATTTTTTGTGTATGTTATTGAATTTTTAGTGTCACTGTATTGCCTCTGGTTAACTCAGCTCACCCCCAAAATTCATGAAATTTAAAAAATAAATACATGAACTTAATTTAGTTGCTAAAGTCTTAAAATGAATTTTAAATTATTAGGTGATTTTAATGTAAGTTCTTGCAAAGGATATATTCATAGCTTTTCATAGTTTATTTAATGCTATAAAATTATCTTCATATTGCCAATTTGACGTACAAGTATTCACAAGTTATAATTGTTAAAATGTTGTTAAAATGCCAGCATTTTAAATTATAATTTGAATGAGAAAAGTAAACATTTATCTTGAGAAAATAATATATGAAGCTAGATTAATACTTTGCAAGCATCAGTAATTAGCAAAAAGAAGTTACTTCTTTCCCCTCAAAGCCTTCCTTTTCAGTCTGTCCTCTTTCTGAAGCAGCTGCCACTATATTTCATTCCTTCTCCAAGTCTTTGTGCAGTTGTCGCTCCCCATGAGGGCTTCCCCTTGACCACATTTTTAAAAATTGCAGTCCTTCTCATTGCAGGAGCCCTGGTTCTACTTCTGCTTTTTCTCATTACACTTTACTATCCTCTGCATAAGTTTGACTTATTTGTTTTCTCTGTCAGAATTTAAGGTCTCTGAAGGCAGCGTTTTGTTCACTGATGCATACCTACCATCTGAAATGGTACCTGGCATATAGTAGGTATTCAGTAAATGCTGAATGAATAAATATATGAAGTTTTACATGTTTGTCACAGTGTTAATTTTAAACCTCAGAGTTTCTAATAGGAACATAGTAACCTAGGAAAATACCTTACAATAAACTGTTTAAGATGATTTTTTAAACATTTCCTATCAAAGCCTTTATTTTCATGATTATTGTTTTTTTATTTGCGTGATTATTGTTTGCAGGGCTCAGTTTGGCAAAGGCTTGGTGCAGACGTGACAGCAGTTGAGTTTTTGGGTCATGTTGGTGGTGTTGGAATTGATATGGAAATATCTAAAAACTTTCAACGTATACTTCAAAAACAAGGATTTAAATTTAAATTAAACACAAAAGTTACTGGTGCTACTAAGAAATCAGATGGAAAAATTGATGTTTCGTAAGTATGCTACATTTATTTTTTATATGGTATCCTTCTGTGTGTTTCTTTAAGAAAAACATTTAGCTTTAAGAATCTGGTTTTTTATATCTTAGTACCACTTTATTGTGTAGTGTAGCTCAGTATTGCGTATCCAGTCAGCCCTCTGAAATTCATGATTGCATTGATGATAGAAAAATTAACCCAGTGTTCTCATTGATATACATTCAGAACAATTTAAACTCTCAACATTCAGTAAAATCATTATTTTTAGACAGATGCATGGGGAAATCAGTAAGATTATTGATTAAATTGCTTACTGTGTGCCTGGTATTCTGCTGTTTTCAACACTAGAGTAACTTGCCTAGTGTCTCATAGCTGGTGGGGGCAGAAGCACTACTTGAGCTTGGATCTATGTTCTTAAACCATGTCAATACAGCCTTTGGTTGTGAGGTTCAAATGATAGACCTCTAGAGGATATGTACATTTTTCATTGCCTGACCCTGTTTATGTATTATTATGATTAAAATAAACTGTCAGAAGTGTCATTAATACTTAAGTAACATCTGATCTTAAGTTTCCAGTATCTGCCAGCTATTCATGTAGATGTGTTTTACAATTACATGCTGCTTATTACCTAGTATTGAGGCTGCTTCTGGTGGTAAAGCTGAAGTTATCACTTGTGATGTACTGCTGGTTTGCATCGGCCGACGACCCTTTACTCAGAATTTGGGACTAGAAGAGCTTGGAATTGAGCTGGATCCTAGAGGTAGAATTCCAGTGAATAGCAGATTCCAAACTAAAATTCCAAAGTAAGTTGCATACCTACCTGCATTTTCAATAATTTTAAATAACACTTGCCATGCTTTAAAAATGCATTGGCTTTGGGGAAGAATAGTAAAATTATAACCTGTAAAAGAAAAATAATTAATTGAATTTTTCATTTTACCCAAAGTGTAGAACTTGAACTGGAAGAACTCTATTTGATTTATTTTTCGGTGACTTACTAACTGGAAACGCATAGTTTCTGACTCTAGCATAACCAGAGATGAGTGTCTGTGCTTTCAGAAGCTCACTGTTTCTTCTGGCCTCTGTGGCAGCATCTATGCGATCGGTGATGTCGTTGCTGGTCCCATGCTGGCTCACAAAGCAGAGGACGAAGGCATCATCTGTGTTGAAGGGATGGCTGGCGGCGCTGTGCACATTGACTACAACTGTGTGCCGTCGGTGATTTACACACACCCTGAAGTTGCTTGGGTTGGCAAATCAGAAGAGCAGTTGAAAGAAGAGGTAATTCTGAATGAGGGTGGTTTTACTCTAATGTGTGATTTGACTTAATGACAATGGTGGTTAAGAACCCTTTCATTATTGCATTAATGCATTTTAATAACTATGTAGAACATTACAGGTAAGTTTGAATAATTTTTTACTTTATTAGTATCAGAAAGGAGAGAGTATTTGCTTGCCTGTATTTAAAAATTAGTAATTCTAGAGGTCTTATATTTGGCTTTGAAGTATATCCAGGTGGACTGACACTTGCATTTGCTTGTGTTTGTTTCCAAAATATTTTTTCTGTGATAAACCTTTTGGTCTTTCCTTCTATATGCTTTGTGAAGAACTGCCTTCTTGGGATTTAGTTCTGATAATTCAGCAAATGGAAATGAATTTGTTGAGAATTTATGTAGGCTCTCAATTTCTGTCTCTCACAGGGTATTGAATACAAAGTTGGGAAATTCCCCTTTGCTGCTAACAGCAGAGCTAAGACAAACGCTGACACAGATGGCATGGTGAAGATTCTCGGGCAGAAATCGACAGACAGAGTACTGGGGGCACATATTCTAGGACCCGTGAGTACTATAAAGCAGGAAGTCCCGTTAGAGTTTCTGGAAAGCATTGCTACTTAGTATATTAATTTAAAACCACCTAGTGGTTACATTTTGAGGTTATTATTTACTAGCAGAAGTTTGAACATAGCTTCTTTGTGCATTGTTTCTAGCACTGACAGTCTTGCCTATCATATCATCTGTATTCCATGCCGCAACTAAGATGTCCCTTTAAAACACACACCAGGCAGTTTGCCTGCTTAAAACTCTCTGGTGGTCCTTTCCACTTCAGACTTAGACCCAAGGCTCCACTGAATTTTGGTCCTGACTGTCTTTCTGACATCATCTCTTTCCACTCATTCTCTTTGCTTGTTAATTCTCTGTCTCATGGGCCTTCTCTCAGTTTTTTTCTTTCTTTGTATTTTTTTGATAGGTAAGAAGTGGATTTATTTAGAGAGAAACATACTCCACAAAGTGTGGACCATCTCAGAAAGTGAGAGCACCTTCTCAAAATTTCTTATAGGCCAAAACTTGTTCCCATTTTAAAGCCTTCCTGCTTATAGACCATTTGTTTAGAATCCTATGTCTCCAGATCTTTGTATGACTGGCTTATTTAGCTTGGTTCAAATGTTACCTTCTAAGAAAAGCTTTTTCTACCACTGCATTTGAAGTATGCCCTCCCCTAGGTTTCAGATGTATCAGTGATGATAATAGAACATTTGAGTGCTTACTCTGTAACAGTTTTTCCTAAATACATGCATTAACTTGGGTTTTCAGGATTCTGTGCGGTAGCTGTTGTTCATCCCTTTTTTGAGGTGAGTAAATGGAATGAAGCACAGAGTCAGTGAGTAATTGAGGTAGTAAGTGGTAGGATTTGAATCCAGGCCACTTCTCTTCAGAGCCCAAGCTCTTCTGTGCTACTTTTTTCTGTTAGGATTTTTCTAGCTGGAGGCAGTTAACTATTTTAATCTGTCCTATTAGATGGTAGTTGTTTTGCCATAGAAACAGAATTACTTCTTGATTTATTATTTTAAAGGGTGCTGGTGAAATGATAAATGAAGCTGCACTTGCACTGGAATATGGAGCATCCTGTGAAGATATAGCTAGAGTCTGTCATGCACATCCGGTAACAACACACACAATTAATGGCTACCTATATTTTCTTCTGACTCACAAATACTTGGTTTTTAATTCTAAATTTCTTCCCTTTCAGACCTTATCAGAAGCTTTTAGAGAAGCAAACTTGGCTGCATCATTTGGCAAGTCAATCAACTTTTAAATGAGAAGATCATATTTTTCTGAAGTTTCCTGGGGACTTTTGTAGAGGTTACATTTCTGAACAGGAAATGCTCACAGCTGCAAAAATTTCTAGGACTGAATTATGAAACTTTTGGAAGGTATTTAATAGGTTTGGACAGAATTGAATAATCTCGTATCTATATTTTAAATAAATAGTTTCACTGCATTAATATCTGCAGAAAAAAGCTACTTATAGTAGCTTCCTGGAAAATTTTCTTCAACCCATATTTTCTTTTTTTTTTTTCAACCCCTATTTTCATGCTGTTTATGAAGGGTTCAATGTCACTGAATTTATGTTAAGTAGCTTTTATCTCTGATACAGGATTTACTTACATGGATGCAGCTGGAGTATTATATGTGAACAGCTCTGTTTGAACCAAGGTGATCAGGTTATTTAAACTTGGTTTTCACATTGGAAACAGTCATTAGAATAAGTTGGAAACATGTATAAACTGATGTAAATAAAAAATGATGATCTCAGTTATTTTAATCCCCAGTGTCTTGGTGGTTAGAGGTAAAATTTGTGTTTAGATTTTTAAGGTTCTGTTGAGGTCTAAAGTATAGTTATACAGTTAACCAAAGTAAGGCAGTGTATATACAAAAATCAAGTATCAGATGGAGAAGCAATGTATTACAGTGGAAAATGAAGACACGGAAATAAATATGTCTTAAATATTCATTTACTGGTTATTCTGAGTGGATGTCAAGATGGTCCTAGTTTTTTTGACTACCTCTAGTGTATATTCTTCTGTTATTCTTTATTACTGCTTTTATAGACCAGGATGTATCTTTTCTTTCCACATTGTAGGACAATACTAAGGTATTTAAAAGGTCATTATCCTTTCATATGTTTTAGCAATACCTACTAAATGTTTAGCATTTATTTTTGGAGAAAGAACATAAGGGAATCTTTAATCAACTTTCTTTTCCTAAGTGGATTTCCAGTTTATCCTGTCTGGGTAAAATTGACTTTTTCTTTTTTTTGTAGCTTAAAATTAATTTATTTAACAAATATAGCTATTATATAAATGATAATAAAATTTCAAATATACAGTATATTACAACAATCCCTTCCAAAGGGAATCTTGAGAGCCACCCAAATGTACTGTTAAATAGAAACAGAAGTTTTTAATTTTTATTTTACAATTTCTTTCTGGTACTGGTAAGAAAGAGGTCCCTTCAACCTACCTTTGTCACGCATCTGTTTATCACTCCCCCCACCCCCCCAAAAAAAACAAATGTTTTACTGTTGAAGTTCTTTTGAAGTTTTCCGGTGGCAAGACCCAGGATCTGCCTCTCCTGCAAAGTTCTTCTCTTTCTCCCCAACTGTTCTCATTTCCAAAATCTTCAAACATGAATTTTCTCTGTGCTTTTTCCTGCCAGGTGTTAGGACAGGAGGCAGCCATGCAGGAGGCACGGCCTATCGGTCTGGTCCAACCACTATACTGGGGACTGATACCTTTGGAAACCTCTCTGGCCTCAGTTCCCCATCTGTAACTCGAAGGGATAGATCTAGATTCTAGAAGAGCGTCATGGGACCCTCCCAGCCACTTTGGGGAAGGGAATGAGACTTCAGAGAGTGAGCTCCGGGAGCGACAGAGGACAAACCGGAGCAGTGTGGGGGTTAAAGAGAAGGTGCCAGGCTGTGCTGAACAGGGGAGCACCTCGTGGGAAGGCTCCTGCTGTTTGCTGGAGGGATCAGCTGGCACCCTAGGTAGGCAACCCTGGGCCTTCTATGTCAGGTGGTACATACTGTAGCCGACGTGGGCTGTGTAGAGTCCCACGGGCGCCACGGGCAGCGCGGCGCATTGGAAAGGGCCAGAGGCCCCGTAGAGCGAGGCGCCCGCGGCGGCTGCTACGGCGGCAGGGCCTCTGAGTGGGAAGGAGAGGCCGAAGGCTGCGGGGGGCAACATGGGTTTAGCGGCCATCTTCAGCTTCTCCAGCTCGGCCTCCTGCAGTCTCTTGGCCTTGGCACGGCGGTTCTGAAACCAGATCTTCACCTGCGTCTCGGTGAGGCTGAGCGAGCTGGAGAGCTTGGCGCGCTCGGCGATGAATAGGTACTGCTGCTGGCAGAACTTGCGCTCGAGCGCCAGCAGCTGGGCAGTGGTGAAGGGCGTCCGCGGCTTGCGGTTGGTCTTGTGCTTGCGCAGGGTGCAGGCCGGAGGCCTTAGCCGCCTGGCCAGGGGCGGGGAGAAGCGGGGATTCTGCATCCACGGGGTCCTCTCGGGTTTCTCGGGGCTCTCGGCTTTGACGAGCGCATCTTGTGTTAGTTTGAGGAGTCCTCCCACCGAGAAATGGCTGAGCGGCCGCGGCGAGGACGGCGCATCCGGGGCGCCCAACGACCCGGGCCGGGCACCTGGAAGCTGCGCGGAGCCGCCCGCCGCCTGTGCGCCCTCGGAGGCCGCCAGGACGCTGTCCTTGGTCCCGGGCTTCCTGTGATCGGCCATGAGCACCTCCACGCTGAAGGGCAGGAGCAAAGGGGACACTTTGGGCTTGGCCCCCTCCTCGTCTGTGCCCATGTGGCCGCGGTGGTGCTGGGGGTCTGGCCCCCGCCCCGCACCCCGCACCCCCCCCCCCACCCCCCCCCCCGGCTTGCCGAAGGCGGAGTCCTCCACTTTGACACCGAGTGGCAAAGAAGTCATGTCAGCAGCTGGGGCCATGCAGAGCCAGGCCCCCCGTCCAGCCGCAGCTCGGGCCAGCCGCCGGGCATGAGCTTCGGGCGAGCTGGGATCGCGGTCGGCCTCTGGGAGCGTCTGGGGCCCTGGCCGGGCGGGCTCTACCGCGCGCGCCTCCCGCCCCTCCCCAGAAGGCCAGCTCTGGCGCTTCGGGCCTGGTTATCCGCTGGTGCCGCCGCGCAGGCGGAGTTCTAGGGCGCACCAGCCGGCTCCGGGTCCAAATTGACTTTTTCATTAAACAGTGCTATAAAGTAATAGTTATTGATAAATATTTAAAATGACTTCTTAAAAAGCTGGAAATAGAACTGCCATATGACCCAGCAATCCCACTTCTGGGCATACACACCGAGGAAACCAGATCTGAAAGAGACACGTGCACCCCAATGTTCATCGCAGCACTGTTTATAATAGCCAGGACATGGAAGCAACCTAGATGCCCATCAGCAGACGAATGGATGAGGAAGCTGTGGTACATATACACCATGGAATATTACTCAGCCATTAAAAAGAATTCATTTGAATCAGTTCTAATGAGATGGATGAAACTGGAGCCCATTATACAGAGCGAAGTAAGCCAGAAAGATAAAGACCATTACAGTATACTAACACATATATATGGAATTTAGAAAGATGGTAACGATAACCCTATATGCAAAACAGAAAAAGAGAATCCGATGTATAGAACAGACTTGTGGACAAGTGCTCAGGCCTGGTGCACTGGGAAGACCCAGAGGGATCGGGTGGAGAGGGAGGTGGGAGGGGGGACCAGGATGGGGAATACATGTAAATCCATGGCTAATTCATTTCAGTGTATGACAAAACCCACTGCAATGATGTAAAGTAATTAGCCTCCAACTAATAAAAATAAATGGAAAAAAAAAAAACAGGTTACAGTAAAAAAAAAAAATGACTGTTTCTTAAAACACTTAAGTAAGGGTTAAATACTAAAGAGACTTTTGCATGTTATAAATCATTTCACATTTATTCATCAAATTGCAGTGCACTTGATGTCAATTTAAAGGATACCTATATTAAGGAAAGTTTGGAGACTATAGTTTATTAGCAGAAGGCTATGCAGAATAAGATACCAGTTGATCAGAGATTAAAGGAAAATGTTTAGCAACCTTCAGGTTTTAATTTATTTACATATAGGTCACATTTTCCTTTTTTTCCCACATGTCCAGTGGTCTTACATTGTATTATGGTCACTGTAAATCAATACATTCTAAAGACTGGATTCTGTTACCTCTGGAAAATACTGAACTTTTTAGTGAGCAGTTAACTTGATTGAACGCCAAACTCTTGTTGTCTTTATGTGTGTGGGATAGCGGGGAAGGCAGCTGAAATCTCTATTCAATTGTTTTAACTTCACTTGGGCTGCCTGAAGTTTGTACCATGCACATGTAGTGCATAGGTGAGTCAGAGATTGGGCAAGGAATATGCAGAACTTATCATACCTGTCTTTTCTAGGGTTCTTCCCCTCATTTCAATTGCTGTTGGTTGCCCCAAACTCTGTCCTCCAATTCCTTAACCAGTAAAACTTGGCTTCTGCTCAAGTTGCCACTTCCTGGGACTTGCCCTTAAGTGAAAAGCTATTAAAAATGAGAATTCCACCCAGTGCTGTTGTTTGAGTGGTACTCCTCCACCCCACCCCCACCTATTTCTGATTGTTGTCCAGTAATTTTACTTTTTTAAAATATATTTTATTCAGTTTTCAGTTAATCTATTGGAGTGTTGGTCTGAATGTGCTATTCCCCATTATTGGTAATGAAACTCTGAATCTTTTTAAAATCTGAAATCCCAATATCCTGTGAAGTGCTAATTTATTTAAACTTCAAATGTGTCCTCTACTCTAGGTAGAAAGATCTGATTAAGGAATAGTGAAATATAATTTAATACGGACTACTGCCACCTATGGGGTCACATAGAGTCGGGCACGACTGAAGTGACTTAGCAGCAGCAGTAGAGACACAAAATAATAGTTAAATGCAACTTTAAAGGTTCCCATTCAGTATGAGAATGAAACTATCTGGGAATGAAGTCCTGTATAAAACACATTTTAAGTGTTCACTCATTGTTATGTACTAAGTTCTAAGTATTCTCTTGACTTGTAAAGGATGGGGCTGTTAGTTGTCCAGTTCATTGAGCTGATTAAAATTAATAATTTCAATTAAAAATGAGATTTTTAGTTGTTTGGCTGAAAAGGAATGAGTAGTGAAGGTTTCTACTTCTACTTAATTGTAAGTAAAATGCTTATAATCAAGGGGGAAAAAGATTTAGACGCTCTAGTAGATGAGGAGGTACAACCACTTCGTTAGTTATTAGGATTTCTACCTAAATAAGAGTGACAAATAAATGCCTGGAACCAGAAGAAAGTTGCCTTATTGTTGAAATTAAAGCTGTTTACATAACCATAACTTGTTTGGGCCCAGCTTCAAATGCAGCTGTGTTAGACGCGTGGGTGGTTGTTAAGTGGAACACAATAACCTTGCTCTAAGGAGAGGGTGTGAGAGTGACCTAGGGCCTGGCCTGTTTCCAGCTAAGTCAGCTGTGAAGTTGACAAGGGCTTGACAGTTGTGTTCCATGTATCTTCTTTGTCCTGTGGAATAACTGATTGTTACTGGATTGTGAAATTAAATAAAATACAATGTAAGATTGTTACTGGATTGTGAAATTAAATAAAATACAATGTAAGATCTGAGAAATGACAGCATCCTTCTGTACTTTTAAGTAGCCCCGCCCACTTGGCATAAGCAGTGTCCCTAAACATTGGCTCAATTTAAACATTCCCCTCAGCAACCCTAGCCCTGTTGTAGGTGGCAGCTCTCTGGTTTTTAAAAATTTTATTGGAGTATAGTTGATTTAGTTTGTATTTCTTCTGTACAGCAAAGTGACTCAGTTATACCTATATATATTTTCCATTATGACTTGTCAGAGGATCGTGAGTATAGTTCCCTGTGCTATACAGTTGGACCTTGTTTATCCATCCCATATATAATAGTTTGCCTTTGCTAATCTCAAATTCCCATTCCTTTCCTCCCTACGCCCCCTCTGCTGTGGCAACCATGTCTCTTCTTTATCTCTGTTTCATATATATGCTGATTTGTATCCTATCTTAGATTCTACATATAAGTGGTGGTGGTGGTTGAGCCGCTAAGTCGTGTCTGACTCTTTGCTGTACCATACTTTGCAGCACCCCAGGCTCCTCTGTCTTCCAGTCTCTTGGAGTTTGCTCAAATTTGTCCAGTGGGTCATCTATGGGCTATCTATATCATCTTCTGTAACCATCTCATCCTATGTAAATGATAATCATATGGTGTTTGTTTCTCTTTCTAACTTACTTCACTTGGTATGATCTCTAGATCCATATTACTGCAAATGGCATTATTTCATTTTAGCCATTTTATTTCTGTGTATGGTGTGAGGATGTGTGCTAACTTCATTGATTTATATGTGGCTGTCCCAACACCACTTGCTGAAGAGACTGTCTTTTTCTCATTTTATATTCTTGTCTCCTTTGTCAAAAGTTGGTGGTAGGTGTGTATGTGTATTTCTGGATTCTATTCTGTTCCATTGATCCATATGTCTTTGTACCAATACCATACCTTTTTGACTACTACAGTAGTGTCTTTGTAGCATTGTCTGAAGTCTGGGAGGATTATAACTCCTGATTTTTTTCTTTTTCCTCAGGATTGCTTTGGCAATTCTGGGTCTTTTTGATTCCATATAAATTTTAGGATTTGTTCTAGTTCTGTGAAAAATGTCATGGGTAACTTCATAGTTCAGTTCAGTCGCTGTTGTGTCTGACTCTTTGCAACCCCATGGACTGCAGCAAGCCAGGCCCCCCTGTCCATCACCAACTCCCAGATTTTACTCAAACTCATGTCCACTGAGTTGGTGATGCCATCCAACCATCTCATCCTCTGCTGTCCCCTTCTCCCGCCTTCAATCTTTCCCAGCATCTGGGTCTTTTCAAATAAGTCAGTTCTTCGCATCAGGTGGCCAAAGTATTGGAGTTACAGCATCAGTCCTTCCAATGAATATTCAGGACTGATTTCCTTTAGGATTGACTGGTTGGATCTCCTTGCAATCCAAGGGACTCTCAAGAGTCTTCTCCAACACCACAGTTCAAAAGCATCAATTCTTTGGCACTCTTACAGTACAACTCTCACATCCATTCATGACTACTGTAAACCATAGCTTTGACTAGATGGACCTTTGTTGGCGAAGTAATGTCTCTGACTTTTAATATGCTGTCTAGGTTGGTCATAACTTTTCTTCCAAGGAGCAAGCGTCTTTTCATTTCATGGTTGCAGTCAACATCTGCAGTGATTTGGAGCCCCCCCCCAAAGTAAAATCTGTCACTGTTTCCACTGTTTCCCCATCTATTTGCCATGAAGTAATGGGACTGGATGCCATGGTCTTATTTTTCTGCATGTTAAGTTTTAAGCCAACTTTTTCACTCTCCTCTTTCACTTTCAAGAGGCTCTTTAGTTCTTCACTTTCTGCCATAACGGTGGTATCATCTGCGTATCTGAGGTTATTGATATTTCTACCGGCAATCTTGATTCCAGCTTGTGCTTCCTCCAGCCCAGCATTTCTCATGATGTTCTCTGCATATAGGTTAAATAAGCAGGGTGACAGTATACAGCCTTGATATACTCCTTTCCTGATTTTGAACCAGTCTGTTGTTCCATGTCCAGTTCTAACTGTTGCTTCTTGAACCTGCATGCAGATTTCTCAGGAGGCAGGTCAGGTGGTCTGGGATTCCCATCTCTTGAAGAATCTTCCACAGTTTGTTGTGATAGACACAGTCAGAGGCTTGGGTGTAGTCAATAAAGCAGAAGTAGTTTTTCTGGAACTCTTGCTTTTTCTGTGATCCAGTGGATGTTGCAATTTGATCTTTGGTTTCTCTGTCTTTTCTAAATCCAGCTTGAACATCTGGGAGTTCATGGTTCATGTACTGTTGAAGCCTGGCTTGGAGA